GCAAATGACAGTTGGAACAGGAAGCTGATAACAATGGGAACAGGAAGTTGATGACAATTGGAACAGGAAGCTGATGACAGTCGGAACAGGAAGCTCATGAACAGGAAGCAAATGACAGTTGGAAAAGGAAGCTGATAACAATGGGAACAGGAAGTTGATGACATTTGGAACAGGAAGCTGATGACAGTCGGAACAGGAAGCCGATGACAGTCGGAACAGGAAGCTCATGAACAGGAAGCTGATAACAATGGGAACAGGAAATTGATGACAATTGGAACAGGAAGCTGATGCATTGCGTTCTTCTCGTGGGTTGACAGATTTTCTACAGGAACTAAAAAAAATGTTTCCACGCTTTGAGAAACGTCAGCAGAAAAGAAATCTAACCGTTTAAATTCTACAACGTTCAGAAAGTTTCTCTGAATGAATCAAAAGACAGATGTTTACCCAGAATGCACTTGGTGACTCACCCCGGCCACGTGGCAGAGTGTCCATCCTCCATCTTCTGTCCACCTTTCCTCAGCTGGTCCTCCAGTGCGTCCACCCGGGACGTGAGCTCCTGAAGGTCCTTGTCCGGGCGAGGGTGATGGGGGGACGAGGACACTCCTCCGTCTGAGGACTGCCAGCCCTCGTCCTCCTCCGTCCCACTCTGTGGGGTCTGGAAGGACCAGTTGACCTTACGGGGGGCGAGGCCGGAACCGTAGCGGAGGCTGTTCTGCAGCCCGCGGATCACCGCCTGAGAGCGGGACAGCTTCGAGCGCAGGTCCTCCACCAGGCGCTGCAGGGACGAGACCTCGTCCCTGAAACCAGAGCCCTGTGTGGGGGTCTTGGTGGAGATGCTGGACCACCACTGGGACCCACAGTCCAGAGAGAGACACATCTCCAGGTCATCGAACTCTGGAACATCCAGCAGATCTCCATAAGCACCAACATTTAGCTCTCATCACAAACATCAGCCGAAGCCTCGGCTTCAGCTGAGCTCTCAGAGCTCCCACCCTCTGGTTCAGCAGTTATTTTGCTAACAGACAGACACCTTGGACATGGGCAGAAACACTAACAGCTTGAACCTTGCAGATGTTTTGACCCAAGGGCAGCAGCCGGGTCATGAAAACAGTACCGATGGCTGTTCAGGTGTTTTTGTCTGCTTCTGTGCGCTCGTTTGTCTGTTAGCAAAATATCTCACGAACCACTGGACAGATTTTATTGAAGCTCATGGAATGTGTCGCTACAAGCCAAACCACGAGGGTTAAAGGACATGATGAAAGACAAAAACCAGCAGGACTCTGAGTCTGCCGACACTGTGGGGTGGTAGTAGCTGAGAGTCGTCCCAACTCACTCTGAGAGCAAACAGGTCAGAGAACGGTTCAAAGACGTCCCGGGTCCGACCCACCTGGACTGCTGGTTCCATCCCGCTCAGCTTCGTTCTCACTACGGCCGCTGGTCTCGTAGCCCAGGTCCTGCAGGTCCACCTGGACCTGTTTGCTGTCCTGCTGCACGGCTGTCTCTGCTGCGGAGACACACGGGAGGACGGTTAGTGAGGACGGTTAGTGGACGTCATGAGGACAAGCGTGAGGAAGGGTGGACTCACTCAGGAGGTCTCTGTAGTCCTGCAGCTGCTCAGCCTGGACCAGAACCGTGGCCTCGGACACCATGAGCCTCTCCTTCAGGTCTCTGCTCTGCTGCTGCAGACGGCGCGTCTCGTCGGGCGCAGAGGGACGCTGCAGACTGTCCCTCAGCTGGTTAGCAGGGTCCTGGTTCTGACAGAGGACAGGTTCTGATGGGTTCGTGTTTTAGAACTACAGAACCAATAAAAAACGTTCCACTCCTCCCACCTGTGAGGAGGTGCTGAGGAGATGCTGACTCTCCCCTCTGTTGGACTTCAGCTCCTTTTTGTCCTCACCGCTCCGATCTTTGACCTGAGACAGAGACACGTTTCCGTCCCAGGCGTCCCACGACTCACAGCTCTCCTCCTCCTCACCTCCCAGCATGCCCTGCAGCCTGAAGACAGACGTCCTTTAGACACAGAAGACGACAGATTTGGACATGAAAGATGGACGTCCAACCAGCTGGTACCTCATGGGGGACAGAGACGGGAACCCAGAAGTCTCCAGCTGCATCTTCAGTTCTGTCTCCACTTCCTGTTTCTGCTCCACCAGCGGCTGGACCCCCGGCAGGCCCGGTCCAACGACGTGCCCGTCCTGTAGGAGTTCAGAAAGTGTCAAATTTAATTCTAAGACGGCGGGGACACATGTTGACGTCCACTCTACGGTTGCATCTGTCTTTAAATCCAGAGTTTACGTTTCGTCTCATCAGCTTCGTTTTATTTGAGAATATCTGTGTTCAGCATTTTAGGCCACACCCCCGTCCCGGTTAATTCAAGCTTTGGTGTCTCTGGGCCCTGAGACAACTGGGACAGAGACACAGTGGTCCCCGGCATTAAAAGAACCCTGGAACCCTTCATGTGTGGACCCCAGCCAGAACTGGGGCCATCTTCTCAGGACCACGGCTCGTTTAAAACGGACTGAGGTGTAACGGAGATGTTCTGACGGGTCTGGTCAGACGGGTCCAAATCTGAGGTTCCGTTTGGAAACCATGGACACCTGCTATCAGCTCGCAGTGCAAAAGCTTGCCTCTCTGATGGTATAGGGGTGCATTAGGGCTGCCTCATTTCAGAGGTCTGTAAACAAACTCTTCTTCTACAGTTAGTCCAACAAAATGTCTTCACGTCCTGCGTCTGCCTCTGAGCAGGGGGACGGGAATCGTACCTGCGCATCCGCGTCACCTTCATGGACCCTTCTCAGCTCTTCGTCCTCCTCATCCTCGGAGCTCAGACCTGCAGGAGGAGACGCGTGCGTTAGACAAACAAAATCCTTGAACTGGATTAGTTTCTGTTCGTGAGCGTCACGTCAGTTTTTACTTTTTCATTTTCAGTTTAATTTGAAGCAAAACGTCAAAATAATTGTTTTGAGATTCATTCTTTTATTTTGAACAACTAAATGAATATTACAGATAATAAAACTTGACTCGAACATTTAATCTGAGGTTATAATCTGCAGCTCAGAATCAGATTTGCGTTTTAAACGTTAGATCTGATCATTTTATCTGTAAAACCAGCAACTCCCTGATGAATAATCTGCCCAACAACCGTCTTTAATCAGCGTCTCTCGTTAGTTTACGTTGAATTATTAGGGGTTATAATCTGAATTATTAATTTCTGATGGATTTAAACTGCTTCAGGTTCCAACTGTTTGATCTTTAAAGTTTTCCACTCCGTCAGATTAAATTCGTTTTTTTTTTCTGTTTCAGTTCCATGAATTCTTAGAGCTCGGTGGATTTTATGAATTAAAAAAAGAAGTTCCTAGATTTTATTTCTGCAGCTGAAAGATAAAAAACGTGGACGAGTTTCTGCAGAGTCCGATCGTTGATTGAACCTCAGATCCAGGAGGAACGATGCAGGTCCCGTCCTGGTCGTGGAACACTGGACCAGCTCTTTACCCTCACTAGGGGCCTCGAGGGGTCATGGGAGTTTGCCCGTCCAGTCTACATGTTCCGTGGACTTGGAGAAGACATTCGACTGTGTTCCTCGGGGTACAGTGGGGGGGTGGGGGGGTGCTCCGTGAGTATGGGATTAGAGGCCTGTTGTTACGGGGTGTTCGGTCCCTGTACAAACGGTGTGAGTTTGGTTCTCATGGCCGGCAGGAAGTCGGACCTTTCAGGGTGGGGGCTGGACTCAACCAGAGCTGCTCGTTGTCATGGATTCTGTTCAGAACTTTTATGGACAGAATGTCTCGGTGCAGCCGGGGGGCGGAGTCCAGTTCAGTGGCCTCAGGATTCACCTCTGCTCTTTGCAGATGATGTGGTCCTGTTGGCGTCATCGTGTCGTGATCTCCAGCTCTCACTGGAGCGGTTCTCAGCAGAGTGTGAAGCGGCTGGGAGGAGAACCAGCACCTCCAGACCTGAGGCCGTGGTCCTCAACCAGAAAAAGGTGGCTTGTTCTCTTCAGGTCGAGGGTGAGGTTCTGCCTCAAGTGGAGTTCAAGTATCTCAGGGTTTTGTTCATGAGTGAGGGACTGACAGATGGATTGGTGCAGCATCTGCAGTATTGTGGACTCTGTGCCGGTCCATTGTGGTGAAGAGGGAGCTGAGCTGTAAGGCAAAGCTCTCCGTTTACTGGTTGGTCTACGTTCCTCCCCTCACCTCTGGTCATGAACTCTGGTAAGGATGCTCCCTGGGCGCCTCCCTAGGGAGGTGCTTCAGGCATGTTGGACTGGGAGGAGACCCTGGGGACGACCCAGGACATACTGGAGAGACTACGTCTCTCTGCTGGCCTGGGAACATCTTGGAGTCCTCCCAGAGGAACTAGAAGAGGCTGTGGAGAGAGAGATCTGGACCTCCCTGATCCAGATGCTGCCCCCGAGACCTGAGTCCAGAACAAGAGGAATATGGATGGATGGATGGATGGGTGGATGGATGGATGGGTGGATGGATGGGTGGATGGATGGATGGATGGATGGATGGATGGATGGATGGATGGATGCAGTTTCTGCAGAAAGCTCTTTGGTCTCCTGCAGATGAAGAAGTTTTCACACTCACTGCGTTCCTCACTTTAATGTTTTCAGACATCAAAGCATCAGTTTCACAGAAAACAGGAAATTAAACAATTTGATATTTTTCACACAAACATGTCGTTCAACAAAAACACGTGAAGAACATTCAACAGTTTAAAAGTTAACGACTGAAACGCTACAGAAGCTTCGTTAAGCAGATTCAGTGCATTTTGAGCAGAAAGCTGTAAAAACACGACAACCGTGTTAAAAACATAAAAACAAAATGTTTACTTTATTGTTTGGGCTCTAAACATCTGGAGATCAAACAAGTTACAGAAAAACATCTTTTATGTTTTAATTTGAGCCTTTTTCTTTTTTTCTGTTTCTTTTTCTGAAACGTTTGATTCTTTTCCACTTCCTGGAGACAGAAAACTGAATTCTCTTCGGTCCCGGCAGCTTCCTGCTGGGACACTGGTCCAACCGGGTCGTTCAGTCAGAACTGGACCTGATCTCTCAGCTGAAACCTCCACCCCTGACCTAAAACTGAGCCTGGACCAGGTCAGAGCTGATGGGGAGATCCAAACCCACCATGAAAGACCTGATCCAGGTACTGACCCACCTGTGCCGGTCCTGAAACTGGTTCCTCAGAGATCCATCCGTCAACCAAGGACAGAACCTCCTGGAGGGAAGTGGTCGTTCAACCTCAGACTTGATGGAATCCTCAAAACCCCTCCAGGTCCAAACAACCAACAGTACGACGGCCGCGCCCGGCACAAGAACCAGGTCCGACCCCTTACACAGAACTGATCCCCAGAGGTGAGACCCCGAGTCTCCCCTCAGCCTGGAAGATGGCCGACACTTGAAAGACTAAAGGCTGAACGTCTTTCAGTCATCTCTGCAACATCAGGCTCCGCCCACTGATCCACCTCTACTGAGGACTTGAACCCGTCAGGTTCAGGTCTTAATGAACAGATGGACTCCTCGTCCGAGGAGGACTCTGCGACCCGGGTTAGGGCCTCGGCTCTGGTTTCTGTGCCTCTTCACTAAAAAAAGATGGTGCACGAACGTTCAACTTCTGACTCCACCGACCCACGACGCACTTGGACACGCCCGGTACCTTCGGGTCGGAGGTCATAACTGAGCACAGCAGGACTTAGAAGAACCTCCAGATGTTTCCTGGACCAACCAGAGTCCATCTGGTTCGTCTTTGGGAACTTTACTTCTGTGCAGAAGAGGTGGGCTGTGACCAGTCTTGCAGCCCTGGCAGCACCGTCCTCAGCTGATCCGAGTCAAGAATCACCGGCAGGTACCGACCCGTTACGCTCGCAGGTTCAGTCCAGAACTGTGGGCCAGGGTCTCGCTGCTGCGAGTCTCCAAAATGTCTCGGGGGTTCAGTTCCTCTGGTGAGGCGTAGGTTTGTTGCTCGAACTTTAAACGAGCTGAACAAAAGTAACGAGACGAACTTTCTCTAAAACAGAACCGTCACGAGCGTCGGGAGTTCAGAGAGAGGAGTCCGAAGGACTGAAGCTGCCGACAGAAGACGTGAAGGAGCAGAGTCCAAACCTGAACACGAAATCCTCCAGGTGGACCAGAGGTCACTTCCTGTCTTATAAACTTTAGGTTTTCTGCTCCGTTTGATTTATTTCATTCTGATTTACAGTGAACTCCTTCAGGCCCGGTCCAAACTGGATCAAAAACATTTTATTTTGTTCTTGTTTGCTCCACCCACGCCCCCAACAGGACCGCTGTAGTACCACACTGCTCCACCAGAGGGCGACAGTTAAACCTCATTAATTTTACTGCTGCGGATGTTTTTGCACATTTTAAACATTTTTTAAATCATATTTTGTGAAGTTTGATTAAAATTTTGCAGATTTTTTTTGTGCATCTGTCAATCATCCCACCAGGTGGTCTGTTTCTGAAGAAGGCGTGGCCTCGTCAGTCAGGGTTGGGGGTTAAGGTGGAGTCACATGGTCCGGTTGGTCCACGTGGGTTAGTTTTCACTCAGAACCAGCCGTGCATTAAATGCAGGATTAGTACAAACACCACCACCGCAGCGAGTCCGTCCGATTGGACCCCAGAACCACCGTCTCCCCGGTGCTGCAGGAGGAGTTACAGACACCGCCCCGTGCTCCTCTGATGCCCACCTCCGAACTCGGGCTGCCGGTCCCGGCTCGGTACCAGGTCACCGGCTGCGAGGGCATCCTGCTGGACCAGAACCTCCTTCAGCTCCTGGACCTCCTGGGTGAGCCGCTCTACCAGCGGGAGGTCCGCCGGGTCGGCCAGCTGCCTCTGGAGATCCTGCAGGTCAACAAAGACAGCAAGACCCAAACACTCAGACGGGTTTGATTAGAACAGAACACGAGACCCGAGTGACCCGAACTGAAAGAAAAGAAATGTTTTTAATAAACAGGAAGTCTTTTTTTTTTTTATCGAGTTTTTAAAATCAAGAAAATACGACGAGCTTTAGCTTAAACTGTAATAATTTAAATGAAGACTGAGCTGCTCTAAGCTCCGCCTCCCCCTTCTGCTGCCAGAGAAGGCGGGAATCACCATGACGACCGGTGACTCAGCAGTTTTCTTTTCTTATTTAAAATATTTTCTAGTTCTGCATTTTAAAAGTTTCCAAATGATCCGTAGTTTGTTGAAATTTGCTGATTCATCAGCAGCTAGCAACAAGCTACTTTTCTTTATGAACTTGTTTTATTTTTTTCAGATGTTTTAAAACAGTTTTTATTAGTTTGGAATGATGTCATCGCCTCTATTTATTTAATCTCTAATCGCTACACAATGACACCAAACACTATATGAAGGGATTTCCCGGCGCTACAGCAGTCTGACATTTTGAAATTTAAATTGTGAAACCAACACAAAGTTCTAACTGAAGGGAGTTCTCGTTCGGTTCTCACTGACCCGGATCAGCTCCTCCTTCATGTCCAGACTCCTGCTGAGGGAGTCCAGCTGGGCGGCCCGACTCCAGCTCAGGTCCTGGTTCTCCTTCTCCCTCCTCAGCGCCAAACGCAGCTCCTCCTGCAGCACCTGCAGCTCCACGGTCAGCTCTGGACCCGATCCAGAACCTGAGCTCAGCTGTCTGCGAAGCTCCTGGAGCCTGGACGTCTGTTCAGCCAGAACCTCCCCAAACCGGCTCGCCGAGTCCTGGGGGGACACCATGGACTCTTTATCAGTGTAAAACTGGTCTGACGGGTCTTTGGTTCCGATCCTCTACTCTACCTGAAGGTACTGATCCCTGCAGCTGATGGTTCTGAGCAGATCCTGGATCTGCTCCTCATGCTCCCGGGCCTGACGAGTCCGGTCAGCCAACACTTCCTGGAAGAGGCGGTCTTTAAGCTGGAGGCGGAGCTTCAGCTCCTCCAGAACCTGGCCTGGAGCAGAACTGACCTGAGCCAGCAGGGAGCAGCGCAGGTCCTGCAGCCGACAGGAAAACAACCGTCAAAATAAAACCAGAGAACAAATGTTTGTTTGTTTGTTTGTTTGTTTGTAAATAAGACTTAAATCTACACAGCCCTGTGCAAAAGTCTTAATCCAACCCTGGTTTCTTTAACTTTTGTTTTGAAAGAACCGGACTTCCTTAAACCGTTCTGGTGAGTCCTGAAGGACGAAGATTCTCACAGGTTCTGGTTCTGGTCTTTGATGGATCTCTTCCCTTCAGGTTCTGGTTTTATTCTGGAAAGTTGTTTTTAAACCTGACACGTTTTTAAATCTCCACTTTTCTTTCAGAAAAACTGCACAAGATTTCAGAATAAATCGTTTAAATAAAATATAAAATGAAAATAAAAATAATTTTAGGTTCAAATAGTCCAACTGGACCTGGAACCAGAGCTGGACTAGAGGAAGCTGCAAATGTCTTCCTGTGACTCTGAGCCGTGTGCTTTTATTTTGAAATGTGACAGGATGTTGCTGTGTTTTTGGACC